CCCTCCCCTCCCCTCCCCTCCCTTCCCTTTCCTTGTCAAAATAAAGTCAATCAGTTGTATTGTTGTAAAGCTAGAATACAGAAGCAAACATTCGCTGGCAAATTAGAGGATGCACATAGCTTTCTGTAACTTAGATTCTTCGTGCATGCGTAGCAGTCATGCCTGTGGCCTGCAGCGTGGATGAAATATGCTTGAGTGTAACATGTGGCCAAGTGAGGGCTCCTGATGCTTTGGCCAGAGGCAGACGGACTTTGCTGTTGGCAAGGCCTGGACATCAGGCTGTGGAGATCTTTTCCAGGCGCTGCATGTCGACTTTTTCTAGGTGGGAGAACTCGTTATTCTGATGTATTGTTCTCCAACCACAGTGGTAGAGCAGCACATTATTAAGCTATGGTTTGGACGTGATGAAATAATACTTATGTCAGAAACTGACTTCAGCTAATGCGTATAAAAAAGCAATTGTGTGATGCTGTGACAGGGCAGTGAAGGGGTCGAATGGAGAGGAGAGTGGTGATGGTGTAATGTGACCAGGGCTTATCTAGAAAGTCCTTAGAGATATTTCCTTTAGGGGGTGGGGGGGGGCATGTCAAGCTTCACATGGGACAGTTTATACGAAGGTCCAACTTAAAAAAGATACAGGGTGTCTCATGGAACCTAAAGGCAGGAATGCAGCGGGGCCTCAAGATGATAGGGAACGTCCTGGGGTCACTAGCAGCCCTGGGGCTTGTGTCTTTGGGCTGCTTCCTTCCTTCTTCCGTCAGAGGGAATGTAAAGATGGCTGCCCTCAGCTTCCAGCTCACGTGACACAGGTCTAGCTCCTGGGAGCTTCGTCTCTGTGTGGAAGGACACACTGAGGGTCCCTTCCCAAGTGCTTGCTTGTAGTAGAAGTCTCTTTGCAGCTCCAGTGAGCCTTTTTTGATGAACAGAAATGTGGAATCTGGTGATGTGGAGGGGGCAGCTCACCAGCTTGAGCATCCAGTAGATGTCTGGGTTTTGAGAACTGACTGATATGCCGTTCTTTTAAAACTGCAGTTTCTGGGGCGCCTGGGTGGCGCAGTCGGTTAAGCGTCCGACTTCAGCCAGGTCACGATCTCACGGTCCGTGAGTTCGAGCCCCGCGTCAGGCTCTGGGCTGATGGCTCAGAGCCTGGAGCCTGTTTCCGATTCTGTGTCTCCCTCTCTCTCTGCTCCTCCCCCGTTCATGCTCTGTCTCTCTCTGTCCCAAAAATAAATAAACGTTGAAAAAAAAAATTTTAAAACTGCAGTTTCTGCATATGTTTTATATGTTGTATACTATCTTAGTACAGTAGCACATGTATACAGGTTGTAAGTAAATATACACATATTAGAGGATGTACGCAGTCGTCTTTTGTGGCTAGGGATGTGCAATCAGAGCACTTTGGAGACTCTTACTTTATGGAATGGTGATACTACATATTGGGTTTTCTCCCCCACAACATCTCTGGGAATATTCAGTGATTCTTACAAGGGACCGTTTCTATCTTGAGAAGTATAAACTACACATTTTCTTTCCTCTCAAAAACGGACTTCTTAAAGAGATCTGTCTCCACAGATCTCGAGGCACCCACAAGTGGAATTTCAGTGTCGGTACACATGAAGTTCAAATGTGCACTGATACCTGTACATCTTCGTTGAGTGGAAAGTTGGCCAGCGTGTGGGATTACCAAGTTGTCTGTTCTTATTTGCATTCAATTATTTTTTTAATACCAAAGTTAACCAAAGGTGTTCATTTACAAGTTACAAACTGCCTGTTACTTCACTTTGAGATTTCGTAGCTCTGGACATTTTCCTCCCCAGTGTTTGAAGGGGAGGAATCTCCCCTTCAGTGTACTGAGATTCTATAAGGTCTTAGGACTCAGATGTGGCCTGAAGATGGTTTAGTGATGGGGAAAGAAAGAACTAGGAGATGGAGGCCTGGGATTGGCCTTACCCCATTCCCGTGTGACTGTGAATTGCACTGGGCCTCAAGTTCTCCATCCATAAAATGGGAATAATGATACCTCAGAGTCACTATGAAGGTCAGACACAATAATGTGAGTCTGCTCTATAAGCCACAGAGCTTTTAGAACATAGGTTAAGGTAAAGATGGGCCATTGTGTTAGTTTCCCATGGACTTTTCAGGAAGGACATATTCTCACACAACATGCTTGAGGGGACTTGTGGGGTGTCAAGGAACTCACCACTGGATCTGAGCAGTCACACCCCAGGGTGGGCGAGAGATTGTTCGCGAGTATGGTGCGTGGCTACTTGCCTCTCTGTGTCATGAGGGTGAATTCTAGACAAAAGTCCACCTCTCTGGGCCGTTAAGACCTTGAAGTCTGGATCCGTTCCTTGTTCCCAGGTTTGTAACCTGTGTACTTCTGGGACAAGAGGTATTCTATTGAATCTCCAGTGCCTAACACAGTGGCACTTATGGCTTAGACACGCAGGGTGTGCTTAGCAGGTGGGAGAGAAGTGCATCATCAAACTTGTTTGCATCTCCAGGACTTGTCACAGAATTGGGAGCCCAGACTGTGTTCGTCACCGGGTAGTAGGGTATGGGATGGAGATCAAGAGCTCGGGCCTCTGAGCACAGACCCATTCAATTGCTGAACCTCCCTAAGTCTGTTTTCCCAACTGTGAAGCATGATAACAGTCTCTCATAGATCTGGGCTGAAGATTAAATGAGGTGATGCAAGGTAACAACACAGAGTCTAGCTTAACAAAATGTCAACTGTCATCACCGTCGTGATGAATAACATGATTAGTATGATTAAGAGCTCATCGGTATTGTGATTTGGAACTTGGACGCTCAGAAGCTCCGTTTTCGCCTTGATGTCTTTAACTGTCTTCCATTCAGTTTTCCCTTGGTCATCCTTTGTGTTGCAGTTTCAACTTACCTGGACACGTGCAGTTGCTTTTTAGGGCAGGTTCAGTGCAGTGCCCTTGATCTTGACCTCTGTCTGTGGGAAGTTATTCTCTGGCAAGGTTTTAGGTTACTTTTCCGTGCTGGAGGGGTCGCAGGTGTTTGTTCAGATGAGGGTTGCACCAGAGCATTGAGGGCGTGAGGTTGACTCCACAAGTTCATACCCAGCGCGGCAGTGAAGAGCAGATCTGCAGTCACTTGCTTTCTTCTTGACCTTCAGCTGGTCTTTGAGTGAGGAGCAGTTGAGGATGCTATATAGGAGAGCATGTTTCATTCAGAGAGTATATTTCCATGGCTTTACTGTTTACTGTCAACACAACACCTGTTCAGGTTGTTCCTGGGAAATTTGTCCACATCTGAGTCTGTTTTTATCTGCAGACACACTTGTTTTCTCTCCTTTGGAGGATAAAAGAGCAAAAGCGTCTCATCTTTGATCTTGGAACTTTCGGCAGCGGTGGCGGGGTGGGGGTTTCTGCTGACCTCTGCCTGGAGGCTGCAGTGTGGACAGGATTCTTCAGGGAGCTGTGATGTAGGCAATTTTGTGTTTCCTGGTCACATTTTTAAAAAATGTTTGTTTATTTATTTATTTATTTATTTATTTATTTATTTATTTATTTAGAGAGACAGCGTGTGAGCAGGGGAGGGGCCGAGAGAGAGGAGAGAGGGAATCCCAGCCAGGCTTCGTGCTATCAGTGCAGAGCCTGACACGGGGCTCGATCTCACGAACCCTGAAATCATGACCTCGGCCGAAATCAAGAACCGGATGTTTAACCGACCGAGCCACCCCAGCGCCCCTCCTGGACACATTGTTAAGCTAATAAGTATAATATCTTAGCATTTACTTCCAAGGTGCATAGATTGAAAGTGAGGGTGGTAGTAATTCATTGCTTTTATTTGTATTTTGTAGTCTTTTAATCACTTGTGGAAGCACCGGTGGACATTAAGCCGGAATTCTAAACCATGAGGAAGTCAGGCTAGCATGATGGTGACGGGGGGATGTTTCTGTTCACATTCTGGAGGCCAACTCCCCTTCCTTGGACACATTCCCTTCCTTTCTTGCAAATGCCTTTCCTGATGCTCTTGTGATCATGAGTCTAGCCCTTGATCTAGCTGGCCTTCCTAAGTGTGGGAAGATTCCTAATACATCATAGGTCAACACCATTATTTATTTATTTATTTTTTATTTAAAAAAAATTTTTTTTTCAACGTTTTTTATTTATTTTGGGACAGAGAGAGACAGAGCATGAACGGGGGAGGGGCAGAGAGAGAGGGAGACACAGAATCGGAAACAGGCTCCAGGCTCTGAGCCATCAGCCCAGAGCCCGACGCGGGGCTCGAACCCACGGACCGCGAGATCGTGACCTGGCTGAAGTCGGACGCTTAACCGACTGCGCCACCCAGGCGCCCCAACACCGTTATTTAATTGGAACCGCGCTAGGGTGAGGAGGATGGGGAAGTTGTGAGCAGACTGTCACGTCCCCGGCTTGCTCCTTCTGCAGCCTGCAAGTGTGCGTGTGCCCTGTTTGACGAAATCGCAGTCGCTGTCAGCGAGTATCTTGATTAAGGGCTCGCTACGGGTAGTTATATTGCCCCGGGTTTCGGCTTGGTGACCTGCGAGGCCTTGAGTGTTCGTTCACGTGAGTGAGTTGTCTGAGGATGCTAACTTTTCACATTTATTACAGTCGGGATGTAGGAACTGTTCCTTTTGTCTGCCCTGCAGAATCGAGCAGAGAGTACAGGCTGAGCTCCTGGAGAGTCTTAGCACTGACATGATCGACTTTGGCCACCGTCACTTGTGGATTATACTGGCACACGGTAGGTGCTCAATAAAAATGCAGCCAGTGAAAGAGCAGCCTCCTAAATGGCCTTTCTTCCTTTGGTTTCCTTCTGATCCTCTTAAAGTGCCACAACAGGGTGGATTTCATTGGTTCCCACTTTCCTCGGCCAACTTCCAGACTCCTTAACAGGGTTAAGACCGCGCCCTTGGCCTGTGGATGCTCTGGGCTCTGTCTAGAGTGAATGATGCTCTGGTTGTTAAATCATCCTGACCTGACTCCTGCCGGGCTTCCCTCTCTCTCTAGCCTGCAGAACATTCCTTTGCATTCTCCTGCTCCTTTGTTTGCAGGTGCTTCTTCCTGGTGAGTGTATCAGCATTCCTTCAGGAAAGGGGAGCTACTATGGGACAGGATTTATTGCACTTTGTTGCCCTTGATATGAATGTGGGCAGTGCGGTGAGGGGAGGTCTGGAAGAAGGAGCTTGAAAATCAGACGAAACCCCTCGAGCCAGAGAATCGCCAGCGTGGTGGTTGCATGGGGGCTCTCGCGGAAGCTCTGAGAAGCCGACATAGCCAACAGCAAGTGGCCCGCAGCGGGGCGGGGTGGCAGCTGTCTGTGGACAGCTGCTGAGGCTGTGGTTGGGAGAAAAGGCGGGTACAGAAGGGGGCTCTGCCGGGAACCTCTTTCTGCCTGTGTGCTGAAACCTTCGGGAGTGTATAACAGCAATCTTGACTTCCTGCAAATTCCCTTTTTGGTCATTTCTAACCCAGAACCTTAGGGAGAAAGGGATCCTGGGAGATGTCGTCCCTGCTTTAAGCCAGGTTGACATTAGGGTAATCCAGGATGGTGCACGATAAGCCAGGGTCGCCTAGCCTGTGGGGGTGTGTACACACGCGTGCATGGGTGTGCATGTAGGCAGCTGTGCGTAGGCATACGCACATCTGTATGCATGCACACCTGCGGGTGTATGGTGCGCGTGTTACACGCACACATGTGCTTCGCATCCACTACAGGGAAATGTGTGAGAATAGCAGAAATAGGGAGATAGAGTCCCTGGATTTGAGAGCTTCTTTAAGCCAGTGGATCAACAGGAGAGGCCAGAGGAGGGGCAGAAAGGGCATCTGCTGGTCCCCAGGCCCTCCATCCGTATATTCTTGGGGGGCTGTTGGATCTTTGCCTCCCGGAAGAAAAAAACCTCAAACGTCCACTAAATTGAATTCTTGGACAGACTGTTTTCTCCCCATGCTCTGTTCCTGTTGCTAGAATCCAGCTCCCCCACCTCCCTTCCTCTGTTTTCCGGTCCTATTCCCTACCTTGCCTGGCTAATGCCTCCTTTTGGTTTCAGATGTAATGTCCCTGCCTCCACAAAGCCTTCCCTGATCTCTCCAATGTGGGTTCGATGTCCTTTTGTTTCCCCGTCATGGCACTTATCACGGTATATGACACTGTCCAGTTTATTTGTCTGTTCTTCACTGGTACAGGAGTTTCGTGCGGGTTGGGACATATGACCTTGCTGGGACTGATCAGCGGTCACCATTTCTTCCCTTCCCAGTGTCATACGGGGATAAGTGGCTGGCCTTCCCGATTGCAAGTTCTGAGCTGTGCGTGCAAGCATTATGCATGCGAGCATGTGGGGGTATTGATGATTCACCCGTCCCCCTGTGGGTGTGGCCAGATGACCCCCTGCTACTAGGCCCTCACTCTGAAAGTGCAGTACAGGGGGCAGGACCTCAGGTCGTGTATCTTCTAACATCTTCAGAGTTTGCCAGATAGCCTTGGTAGATGGGGACAGGAAGTGGGGCAGGAGAAGATTAAGCAGAACTCATAATCTTTGAGGTCAAGCAGTGTGCAGATTAGAGATAAACCGGCAGTGGTAACTTTGTCCTTTCTAGGGGTTGGCCTCAGTGTTGCCTTAAACACAGACGTTCAGAGATTGAGGGGGGGGGGTGGTGGCTAGCCTGTTGCTCAGTATTCAGAAGGGAAGGGAGTCAGAGGGCGTATGGATTCAGCAGATCTTACAAATATTTAGGTCATAAGGGACAGTGAGAATCTGATGAGGGACTTTCTCACCAGAGAACCTTACCTACCCACAAAGGTAACGCGTGATTTTGAGGATGCCAGGTGGCTGACACCCATGAATCATCCTATAGAAGGGTGACAGGAGTGGAGATGATGGTCTTTGTGTGTTGTGGCTTTGATGTGTTGATGTGTCTGTTATTAGGATTGTGTCTGTGTCTGAGGCCCCCTGGCTAGAGGGGGGAGGCGGTGGTTAGAAAGGGGAAGCATCAACCTAAGGTGCGGATTATCTAAAGCACAGAGGTGAGGAAATGAGCTCCCGGATGTGTCCTTCCTCCCTCGGGCTTCCCACAGAGCATGAACCATCCAGGCCATGGTCCATCTGCTGGGTGGGAGAACATTCCTATGCTTCCCCCGCAATGCCTCGTCATGGCTCCTAAGGACCAAGTAAGGGTGTGTGGATGGAGGAGGAGGAGGAGAGGAACTGAAACAGTCTCTGCCTCCTCCCACTGGTGTTGGATTCCCTGTTGACTCACTAGGTGGAAGTGATACCAAATGAAGGAGAAGGTTTCTAATGAGATGAAAAGATGCTTAATAAAATGAGGCTACCCTTCACAGGGAGCTGTGTGAGTGGTTACTCCAAACAACTGTGAAATGTCTCTAATGAGATCTTAAAAGCAAATTCTGAAGTCCCCAGTTCTCTGCTCTCTGATCTTGCATGCTGTGATCTTTCCCCCAGAGGTTTACCCTTGAGATTGAATTATTGCTTTACATTGTAGCCCTGTGTCCACCATAACTTCATTGGCTGACTTTGGGGTTATCCTCAGTGCTTAAATCACTCTAAAACAGGTTTTGTCAGTTTAAGTAATGTAATATTTTTCCTTTCTCGTGGCCCTGAGAGCAGGTTCCTGGAGGAGTACTCAGAATCACTGCTCTTGGGGCAGAGCCTCGTGAGTCCCACACAGCTCTGCCGTCATCATCCCTTGGGGGCCAACTTCTCATACTCCTGATCTGACCTTAACTTTCATTTCCTGCTCTGCAAAGTAGGCCTAACTCTACTTCATTAGGGTTGCTGCATGGGTTAAATAAAATTTGTTCAGAGTCAGTGCTTAATACACATTGTCTGCTACATTTCTATTAGTTATCCATTGCTGTGTAACAAGTTGCACCAGAATCTGACAGCTTAAGACAACATGCACTTAATTGTCTCACGGTTTTGTGGGTCAGGGATCTGGGCACAGTTTTACGGGTCCTCCGGGCTCCCTCACTGGTTTCTGGCGGGATGCAAGGCTAGATATTTTATGAAATGAGTGGATTTTCTCCCTTGGAGGAGGGAAGCCTATGTCTCTGTCATTTGTTGAGTGACCCATCTTGCCCAACTGAGAGCCCACACATATGTTGCTTGTGAGGAAGGAAAGGTGGCCAGAAGACAGTTAGTTCCTTTGGTAGGAAGTATGATATAAGTAAAAAAAAAAAAAAAGTGTTAATTTTTTTTTTTTAAACAGTTAAGATCACACCTTCTAAGACTCATTAGATAAACTGAAATTTCTGCTTAGCTGCACAGAGTTTGTACATTGGGACAAACTGCTCTCTCAAAAATGCCAAGAAGCAGCGGGGGCTGTTGTAAGAATAACGGAAGTGAAGGAGCTATGGAACTTGCCCTTCCCCTTTTAAAAATTGTCTTCCTTCTTCTTTTCCCTCATTCGCTTATCTGTAAAGTAAGGCTAGAGGAGAGGTGGTGATCTGAGAGGATTTCTTTTTTTTAATTTTTTTTATTAAAAAAAAATTTTTTTTTAATGTTTATTTATCTTGGGGACAGAGAGAGACAGAGCATGAACGAGGGAGGGGCAGAGAGAGAGGGAGACACAGAATCGGAAGCAGGCTCCAGGCTCTGAGCCATCAGCCCAGAGCCCGAAACGGGGCTCGAACTCATGGACCTCGAGATCATGACCTGAGCCGAAGTTGGACGCTCAATCGACTGAGCCATGCAGGCGCCCCTGAGAGGATTTCTTTAAGAGCCAGGGGAGGAGAGGGATGGAGTCTCTGGTGCTCATCTTTCCTCACTCCCAGTGCGTCACTGACTCTGGCTTCCCTGGAACTTCTAGAACATTCCTCTGCCACCAGCAGGGCCGAGAAGACACTCTACTGTTGGGGCCAGAGCACCCATGCCTGACCGTTTTCTAAACTTCAGAGCCCACCGGATCTGCCACCTCTGGAATCATTTGGTTGGCTCAGTCGGTTAAGTGTCTGACTCTTGATTTTTGGCTTGGGTCATGATCTCACAGTGGTGAGACTGAGCCCAGAGTTGGGTTCTGTGCTGATAGCATGGAGCCTGCTTGGGATTCTCTCTCTCTCTCTCTCTCTCTCTCTCTCTCTCTCTCTCTTTCTCTCTCTGCCCCTCCCCCATTCTCTCTCTCTCTTTCTCTCTAAGTAAATAAATAAACTTTAAAAAAAAGTGGAAAGAGGACAATATTTTTAAATATTATAAATAGTTTCACACTAGCATTAGTTTCTTTGGAGTGTATGATGTCCCAGAAACATGGCCATCTCTTCTATTTAGACACTTATCTAAGAGTCACAGAAGATCTGGGATGGAGTCTTAGCCTCGACACCCATGTCCTTGGACAAATTGCTGTGATTTCCTCCTCTGAAATGAGGATGCTAAGACTTAATCAAACGTGACCAGAGATATGAAGGGACAAGGCAGTTTAACCTTTCCACAGACAGTAGAAACCGACCCACAGAGGATGTAGATTATAGAATTGTCAGACATGGACTTTAAAATATGTAAAATATAAATATGTTTCATATGTTCAAGGAAATAAAAGTCATGATTTCGAGCAAGGAATTGAAAACTTTATAAAAAGGAAAATTTTACGAAAGAAAAAAATATAATAAATTGGGGCTCCTTGGTGGCTCAGTCAGTTAAGTGTCTGACTCTTGACCTCAGCTCGGGTCTTGAGCTCAGGGTTGTGAGTTCAAGCCTCATGCTGGGCTCCAGGGTGTGAAGACTACTTAAAAAA